TGCATATAATTACATTTTTGCTTGATGCATAAAGTTAAAAGATTAAAACTAATAAAACAAGTTTTAAAAAGAGACTTTTCCATTTGATTACATTTTGTATGATGGATTATGCAGAAAAAGTATAATTGGGCTGAAAGATCTATCGCTTTATCACCTATTCAGGTTGTAAATTGTGTTTTCAAAAAGTAACTAAGTAATTAATTACTTTTGAAAATAAGTAATCAGTAAAATAACGGGATTACTTTTTGGGGGAAGTAATCAGTAATTAGTTACTGATTACTTTTTTCAAGTAACTTGACCAACACTGGTTGTAGTCTGATGGTCTTGGGCTGCTTTAGCTTGCTCTAAATGATGGAACTATGAATTCTGCTCTGTACCAGAAAATCCTGAAGTAATATCACTTAATGCTCTCAAGCTTAAGCACACCTGGTCTATGCAACGGATGCATAAATGCAATGGAATGGATGACTGAAGTCAAATCTGGACTTAGATCTTCAAAACTTTCTGATTGAGATGCTTTGGTCCAACTTTAAACAAGCTGTCCATACTCAAACCTCTGCAATGTGGCTGAATTAAAAGATTTCTGCAGTGATGTGATGGAAGCACACACATGCACAAAAAAAGTGAAGCCACCTCTTGTTTTCCTGGTGACTACATTTTAAATGGGTTTTATGCTAGCCAAACGATGGGACTTCATATCACTGTGAATTCTGGTTATACTTTGCAAAGCTAGTGTTGGTGTTGGCTGAAAACGCCCCAGGTCTACACATTCATCCATTATGATTGTGTCTGATTTAAAAGAAACAAAGGTACAAACACCGTGGCGGCAGCTGATATGTTTTGTATGAAAGATTTACTCTATATAAAAAATTTTCTGAAAGGTCTAAACTACAACTCAGTGCACCAAGAAATATCACAGTTAAATTATCCGACTATGTGAAGTTTTTTTTAAAAACTTCTTAATCTTTTTTGCTTCATTTTAGCTATTACTTTGAGATTAATGTGAAAATATTTATTTTGTATCAAACAGTATGATTTACTGTAGTTCCCTTTTCTTCTTCTACCCGTCTGATACGATTTTACTGGCTTTTGTTGATTTTAGAACTTCCGTTGATTCATTTAAAAAAGTTTAAAGCTTTCTAAATGGTTCAATCACTCAATTCTGTTCTCTTGTGACTCACTTGATTTTAAAGCATTTATGCAACTTTGATTTTTGTTTAATTTTTTACATGTTTTGGGAGATGTTTGAGATTTTAATTGCACTGTTAAAAATGAGAGCACGTTAGAGTTTTCATTGTTAGACTGAAAGCAATGAGTAGCAAGTTACATTGGTTTGAAAACTGTGGATAAAGACAGCTGGTGGCCATTGTTTACATGTTTGTCTATGGTTCAGTGTGAATCCAGGATCCTCCGCATCATCGCCAGCTAAATGAAAACACTGAGGCATTTTGGTAACAGATCTCAGATCAGCTAGTGCTCAGCTGCTGCAGTCTAATTCACTCATTTAAAGAAACTGTCCTTGATTAGGTTATTATCAAAATCACTTAGCGGTTCAATAAGAGGAGTATGGGGAGGACTGATGGCGATGTGGTGGTACAGTGATATTCTCTGGCATTGAATTGAACGCTGATAGGTTCACATGCTCACCTCATGGAATGCATCTGACAATGAACGGCACAGTGGAAGCAGGAGGTAAAAAGGGGGAGAGACCGTTCTTCATTCAGGCGCTAATTAGAAAAATTAGATCTATGAAAGGCAGGGAGTGATCGAGGCCTTCAACCTACGTCTGTGTACCGCTGTAGCAGCACAAAGAGGAGGCAACAATGAGCACTGAGGAGGAGGAGGAGGGGGGATAAATAATTTAATCCATTATCTACTCTGCAAAGCTCATCAGCACTGCTACACAATGGCCACGATTGAATTGCTGATTGCATTTCTCTCCTACCCTCCAGGAGAAAATGCCCATGCTCCACAATGTTCTCTCAGCCTGCCGGCACAACCAAGAGCAAGAGAAAGACGGAGAGGGAGGGAGGGGGAGAGAGAGATGGAGCAGTGTAGAGTGTCTTCCACCAAGGTCAAACTACAATACAGCAATCTAATTAAGAGTATCAGAGAGTTTCCTGTATGGGGTCAACCTCCCTGTTGTGCTCACTGGCTCATAATGTCCATTAAGAATTAGTTTATGTACTTCAACATGTAAATGACAGAAATGATCCTGATTAAATCTTTTTTACTCTGATCTTTATTACAATACAATTTTAAATGTTACAAGTTTATCTATAAAAAGGCGCATAGCCATTGCCTGTTTAACAAGCGGTATGTTTGCATAGATTACCGTAGAGAGGTGTGTGTGAGAGCTGTACTTTAAACCATGTTAACAGCATGCTTCTGGTTAGTCCGTCACTTAATATATGAAGAGTCCCCAGAGGACAATAATCCTTTTTTGTGTCACCATGGGGGACATTTGGGTTTTTAATATTTCAGCAAGGATGGATTGCAGTTGACTTCAGTAGTACTAGTCCCTCACAGTTTTCACTTTAGTAACACATACACTCACTGGCTATTTCAGTCAGTCCAATGTTCAACTGCTTGTTATTGCAAATATCTCATCTGCCAATTACATGGGCAGCAACTCCACTGTTGTCAGACAGGCTGGTGTGAGTATTTCAGAAACTGCTCATCCTACACATGCATCCGTAGTGTTTACAAAGAGTAGTCAGAAAAATGACAATGACCTATTGATGCCAGAGCTCAGAGGAGAATGGCCAGACTGCTTCGAGGTGATAGGAATTCAGCAGTAACTCAAATAACCACATGTTAGAACCAAGGTATGCAGGAGAGAGCATCTCCGAACACGCAGTAGGTTGAACCTTGAAGCAGATGTTCTACAGCAGCAGACGACCACACAGACTGCCACTTCTGTCAGCTAAGAATATTAAAATGAGGCTAGGATTCACACAGGTTTGCCAAAACTAGACAATATAAGATTACAAAACCGATCCCTGGTCATTCAGATTGCAGGGTCCGAACTTGGCATGAACAACATTAAAAGCATGGATCCATCCGGCCTTCTGTGCATACTTTTTTGCATACTTTGAGCCCCGTATATCTAACTAAGTGTTGTTTAAGGAAATCAGCCTACCTGAGTAATGCTGCTGACCATGTCCATCCCTTTGTAACCACAGTACACCCATCTTCTACTTACCCAGCAGGATAATACTCGCTGCACAAAGGTCGGATCATCTGAAACTGGTGTCTTGAACATGACAATGAGATCACCGTAGTCAAATGGCCTCTACAGTCACCGGATCTTGGTTAAGGGATTTCCATTAGAGGTGAGTGTTTCTGTGCCTGCTGATACTTTAGGGGCCTTTTGGGTCTGCGTGGAGCAAACTGTCATCGAATGTTGATGATTTGATGAGTTGACAGTCACAGATCATTAGCCAATTAACCAATATCGCCAAAGCTATTACATATATTGCCATTATGTTTGGTACATTGCCCTTAGAGGCGGAACCCTACTTTGGTGATCCCCCAGACTTTTCCTCCAAGTTAGTCCAACTTTGTGCTTTTTATTAAATTTTTGAAAGTTTGATGTCTGCCTCGGAATGAACTCTAACAACCTTAGAGAGCCTCTTGCTAAAGCAAAGGTCAAAGCATCACCACCAGGCAAATGATAGACCTTTTATCTGATTCAATTTAATCCAGCCATTGCTCTATCAATCACTCGATAGAGGATTGGTATTTCTGTCAAATTAGATTAAATGTCCTGAATCATTTCTTTTATTGCATCATCATTTATTGCATCATGTTATCAGCAATAAAACAAAGAAACATAAATTTCAGTGTGGACCAAAGAAGTAGAGCAGCTGAGCTACCACGTCACCCCTAAACAGACCCACAGTGAGATATGATGAGACTTAAATAAAACTAAAAAGAAAAATGGTCAAACCTGAAGCACCAGAGACCGAGACCTCCTGACTTTTAGTCCGTACAACGTCTCTCGCTCCAAACTTCTTGGGTCCTATACTCAGTAGCTAAATGTCTTTTATTTTAAGGACAATGGCAGTGACAAGCGATTATTTTCTTCACAGAGCTAAACGTCTATTACTGGTGATATTTAAAAAGTTTGGGGTATTCAGCAAGAGTTATTGCTGTTCTGAAAGAATTTCTGAAACCCTCAAAGACTCCTCCAACCATCTGGATGAAAGAACATTTTGTTTGATGCACACGGCATCAATTCTCTACACGCCTTCCCTTCCCTGTCACCTGCAAGAGTAATGACATCAGGCTCGATTGCAACATACTGATGCTAGCATTTAGCTCAAAGCACTGATGGTCCCTAATTGGCAACGCTCTTGTATAAGTAAAACATGAGTAACACAAAACAATGATGTTCTGTTTTGATCAGCACTTACTATATTTTCTCACTGACACCACAGTAGGAGACATTTGCTTGTTCCTGTCATCCTGGGAGCTGTATTGTCTGGAGCAATAGCTCCAGGTAGGATCTCCCATGCCAAATAAGTCCCAGGGTAGGGACCAGACAATGAGCAATTCAGAAAAGCCCAATGAAATACAGTTCTTGGAACTAGTTAACCTCACCCGGAAGTGGAAAACTGGAGCCCTCACCAAGAGATGGGTGCCAGGCATAGTTTTGGGGTGTGGAGCAGCCTGGGCATGTCCCTTTGGATGTGTTCTGGGATGGCCAACTAGGAAGAGACCCCGGGGTAGACCCAGAACCTGCTGGAGAGATTATATTTCTCATCTGGCTTGAGAATGCCTCAGGATCCCTCGGGAGGAAATGGAAAGTGTGGCCAGAGTAAAAGGATGTCTTGATTACCATGCTTAGCCTGCTGCCACCATGAGCCGTCTTTGGATGTGGAAGATAATGGGTGGACTTTTTTTTGGAATTCATTTCAAAGCGTTTAAAAAGTCTTTCTGTGTGATGAAAAGCACACTTAAATACAATTTACTCCAAAGAAGATATTAAAAAAACAAAAAAACAAATACGCAAATCAAACTGGTTCTTCCAAGTCTAAATAGTGAGGCTAGTCCAAGACTGTGGTAAAGCGACATTCTTTCTACAGCCAGCAGGGGGCGACTCATGGTTGGAAAAAGACGTCCAGGTAAATATAATAGAGAACAACCTTTTTGCTTTTCTGATGACTAAGGTTTAAATTACTGATTCGAGGCCTTATTAAATGCAACATCATGATAATTTTGTAATTTATGATCCTCATTAGAGGCCACAAGCAAGATAAATGGTATTTCTTACTGTGATTGATGTCACAGTAGTTATGTCAATGTTTTGCATCCCTTCATTCATCCATTTTCTTCTGCTTATCCAGTTCAGTGTCACAGAGGCAGCGTACGCCCCGGACACATCGCCAGTCTGTCACAGGGCTAATGCACAGAGTCAGCCAACCGTCTATGATCACATTCATACCTATAGCCAGTTAAGTCTATGGTAAACAGTACAGTGTTCACCGTAGTCATGTTCACCATTTCAGTTTGTGTAGCGAACTGATATTTGCTCCTTAGACAACACTGTTGCTGACGGGAATACTTTTCATTTTAGCACGTGTTTGGTGATGAACCACAGCACTGAAATTCTGGTCAACAGTTTGAGTAAGATCTTTTTTTTTTTTTTTTTGCGTTGACACAATATTTTTAGTGTGATGGTTATTAGTGTATTTTAGGATCACATAAGTGTTTTCAGGCAAGCAGTTTGTGAGTTTCCCCAAACATTACCATGTACTTCTCCTCCATAGAAATGGATGCTTAGCCCCGTGTCTTAAATGTAATGCTGATACTGGAGGGGGTAAACTATCTGTGTAGCCTCAAATAGCTGCTAGTGTGGCTGAAGAGTCTTTGTCTTGTTCAACTATCCTTTTCACATCATGAAATGTCAATGAGTAACAGGCCAGAAGGCAAGAAAGCATTAATGGATGAGTCTGGCGATGCTTTATGATGATGATGGCCTCCATCATTTTCTCTCCCTCCCATCAACTACAATCTATCATCTGCACCAGGCTCCAGTAAAATATCAGGGACACTTGAGGTTTTCTTGGCCCAGAGCCTCTGACATGCTGGCTTAATTTTACCTTCCACTGCAGCGTGGCGCATTTACATAAAACACAGAGAGAAGTAGTACACATAATGGTCCCCTTTGGCCAAGCGCTTTAAGGTCCTGTCCACAGTCCCAGCGAGGGGCAGTCAAGCTGCCTCTGCTCTGCTCTGTTTGTTTTATGGAGCAGTAGTGAAACCACTTTGAGGTCAGCTAGCTGCAAAAACTGTGCTGGGTCTCCTATGGTCTGCTGAAAAAGGCTTCAAAGCCAATCCAGAGGGCCATTTGGAGAGGTCCAGCCAACTTCCATTGACAAAAAGAGGTCATTATTGTGCATACTACATTAGATAATTTCACTTATATCAAAGCTGCTGATCAGTTCTTCTTGCAAAGGAAGAGACAAACCACTAAAAAAAGCCCAACGTGTTCCTGTTTGCAGGAAACTTCAGTCACACATCCTGAATTAATTTGATTGCCGTCATTATGCAAGTACGGCGCAAATTGTCCAAGACCAAGTGAAACTATTTATAGCCGTCACTAGGCCTGTGAGCCAAGTGTGCCTAATGGTGTAATTTGTATTGTTAATGGTAATGCACTGTTAGTTTGTTCCATTTGGCTTTGCACAGGTGCATTAATGTGGGCCTGTTGAAGCGTTGCAGTCAGTCCAAGAACCCATGCTGCTATGTGCAGGTTTTCAGCAGCACCACGGCTCCCTCTTGTGGATCAGAGTGCTTAGAACACAGGCTGGCTTCAAGGTTAAGGAAGAGCAGGTTATTTTTGCTAAACGAAACAAATGAAGTGGTCTTATTGTGATGGGAAGACCTGCTTTAAACCAGAATGTCAACCACAAACAGCTACAAGAGCAGCATAGACTTTTGAAAAATCGTGTTCCTAATTAACCTTCAAGCTCATCAGGCACAATCAATATAGAGTGTAGCCTTTTTTCCTAATTGAGATGAAGTAATTATCAGACTGTATTCATCTCATTAATGAAACAATGTTCCAATATGCCTGCAGCAAAACTGTTAATTGAGTTCTATTTTCTGAGACAGGCAGCCTCTCCTTGTGTCCATGGCCACAAAGCATCAAATGTGGGTTGGGGCCTTTGTGCTCGTCTCTGTGCAGACACAGGAACAGGCTGTGGACTGGTGGAGCATGGTAGTGCTCTCCCCCCACAGACACTTCCCCTCCCCACTGCCTATTCTCCCATCAGAGAGGAGGCAAGAGTTGGTAATACAGCTGACTTCAGCAGATCATCCCGTCCCAGTGTGTTATTTCACGGTTTCAGTGGTTAAGTACTCCCTGTTGAGTAAGATATAGCGAGGCAATTATTCTGTAATTATGGAGCCAAAAGACGAGAAATAGAGTCAAGAGTTACTGGGCTCATGTAAATCACTGTAACGGATCTAAAAAGGGTGCAAAAACAGGCTGGATTGTCCACAAGTACGGTCCAGACCATAAGTATGTGGACAATTACATTTTTCCTTCCTCCAAATCAAGTTGGAGTCAGGTGAAATGACAGAGTTCTCTACTAAAAAATTTAGTAGCTAAGGATCCAGTTATTTCTGAACCTCTCTTGTATGGGTTTAACATGTTTAAAGCTCAAACATATTTCTATCCAATATCCATACTATCCCTGATCCAATAGAATGAAGGTAAGCATACAGAGTATTTGAAACTGTATGCTGATGGATTCTGCAAAACATTTGGCTGCGAAACTCTCAAATATCTAATTTAACGCAAATTCCTATTAATGCAACTGTGAATGTCACTACACTCTACTCATCACCCAACCCACCCATGCGGTTGATACCCGCTCCTCCCCGAGCCAGGTTCTCCTGGAGGTTTCTTCCTGTTAAAAAGAGGTTTTTTTCTTTCCACTGTCGGCAAATTTGGCTCGTGGGGTCTCGTCCATTCATTTGTCTGTAAAACTACACTGATGCAGAATAGCAGACTGAGGTGACTGTTGTCAGGTCACACTATATAAATAAAACTGAACTGATTCATTCACCTGGCGAATATCCCCAGATAGTGATCCAGCTGTTAATGCAGTCAAATGGCTGCTCCAAGATGCCAGTTTCTAAATACGCAATTAGGGGGAAAAACCATCGCTTCTACGCCAGAAGTGGAGAGTGGAAAGTTAGTATTATCCACTAATCCACAATAACCACATTACCAAAGATTGTGTAATTTCTTCATGCTACTGTAATGTTATAGTTTTATCTTCCTTTGTAAAAATCCCTCGCTCTGCTGTCAGTGGACTTGTCTACATCTCAGGCACACGGCCAACATTCATATGAACGTGCTCATAGCTTGGATGGAGTTTATCAACACTTTTGTGTTACTGCTTATAGCTTGATTGCCACTGTTACAGTGTGTGAAATATATCCTGGGTATGTCGAAGTCATTTCATACTGTATCATTTGGTTAAAGTTGCATAAAACAAGTAAATCACCTTTTAAAAGCCAAACAAACTTATTCACAAAATTCATCACACAAACTTGCAGTTATTTGTTTATATTCAGAGTGTTACTGTGGAGAGTGAAAAACAACAGTAATCATAGAAGCAATGCGCCAAAATAAAAGGAAAGTGAATGTGGGATCAGAGGAAAAATAATATTAAAGAAATGTTCTATACATTAATATAAAGGCACTATCAGTTTCTTCTTGCTTGCAGTAGTACTGTACTCAAACATTCCAGCTGTTAGTCATTAGTACCTTTCTCCTACTCCAGGTTGTCCTTTCAGACTAAAAAAACCCAAAAGAACAGCAGCTGTCTTTTAAGAAAAAACATGCACATTAATATCTGTGATAAATCACTGAAATAATGTGTGAAACATGTAAAAATTGAGAAGATCTCTGTGGAATAAAAAATTACCAGTCACGCACCAAAGGATGCAATGATCCAATCTGTTTTCTTTTGCTACAATTTGGTCCAAAAACATGTTAACACAGCATGTAGGAATGTAGCCGTGACCATCTGCACTAAACACTGTTTTGAAGCTGCTGAAGTAGTTGAGGTTTCCTGCTTTTATTTTGAAAGTCCACCCAAACATCAAACATGGTAAAAAACCCTTCTTGTCTTAAGGTTTGGGAAATTCTTTCTCACAGTATAGACTGACACCTTCGTTTTCTCAACAGCTGCACTAGCAATAAAAAAAGTAGAAATTTCACCACAGTGTCTGAAAGGATTTCCCAACTAGACCCCAGTGAAACCAGCACTGCTTAATGTCTCGTACTTTCCCAGTGTACACGACTTGTCCCTGTGCAGCTTTGTTAATGCTTTTCTGTTGACACTTTTAGTTCACTTTGGGGTAGATCTTTTCATAGAAGAAGCTCTGTGCAAGGACAAAGAGTTCTCCGTCTTTTTCCCTGACGGCGTGGGCACGCACAAACTGAAACTGTTCAAGTGCAAACTCGTAAAATTCATTTTCGATTTTCCAGATGTTTGACTGCTGCAACTTGGCTATTGTCTCTTTGGTGGGGGGCTTCTTCTCTGTGGTCTTCCTAAGGTGGGATTTCTTTCCTGGAGGAACACAAGAAGGTTTAATGATTCCAGGTAGCATGTTGTTACTGCTCTACTAAAAAAAGCATTCAGTCAGTTAAGTGTAAATTGAGACCAGGAAAAGGATTCGTCATATAAAAGTAACTCCAGTACTGACAGGGCTCGTTTTAAGGGCATCACAGCCACAAATAAGAAGTAACAGTATGAATTTGTGTTTTGTTGCTACCTGTTCTGTAGAGATCTGTGGCTCCCTTAAAGAAGCGTGGGAGTGCTGCTTCCAGGATCATGATGAAGTCCTCGAGTTCCTCCGTTACTCCCACTAACAGGTACTCATTTACCAGGTTGTATTTGGCCTGTTCCAGAGCCCATCTACTGCCCGCGTTCCTGCACAAGAAACGGAGATCACAGTGTGATTGAGTTTAATTTGGATCGCTTCATCTGAAGGCCAGGCTTTTCTTCTGTTACTTATCTACGTCTTTGACATCACTGCACAATACTCCCTAGCGATAGGTGGGTTTTATGCAAAGACTGAGCAGCTTTCTTGAATTCTGCCGTTCTTATTTTCATGCTAGCGCTCTTCCAGCAAACTCTAAATGTTCTCAGTGATGAGCAAAGCCGTTGTTGCATTTAAAGAGCACAATGTCCAGGAATGCTGATCATTAAAAGAAAATGACTACATGAAAGGAAAAATGTCAAACTGCATGCATTAGTAACAAGGTTACTGTGATCACACTCATTTACTGTTTAATTCTTAATAATGAAAATGAATGACTCAGTTTATTTATTATTTATTTGAAAATAATCAAAATAATCTCCAAAGGGAATTCAAAGTCATTTCCAAACTGTACTGAGTAATTATGATTTTAGTCACATTTCTAATTTCACTGTACAAAAAGCTAAAAATATACATATTCCTATTGTTGAGGTGAAATTTTAGAATAATGCTGACAAAAAAAATCTGTCTTAGGCTTTCACAAGACATTTGAGGGTTATGAGGATGAATGATGAATGTTTTTCTTCTTTTGGAGGATAGGGAGGCTTTAATGAGAAGATCCTAGGTTGGACATATATAAATACTGCTTCTGCCACAGGCTGTTCAGTCACTAATCAGTCTGAGTACACAGATTGTGGACTATATATCTATATATGTGCTGTTTACATCGTCTGTGTAATATGTGATTAGTGAGGAGAAAAAACCCCAAACAGAACTATACCATATCCTCATCACTGTTTACAAACAACAGATGGAGCCTTTTCTTTCACTCAGCTTGGAGAAAGAATAAATTGTCACACTGCGACTAATTCAAAACAGTCATCTAACATTTTATAACAGACACTGACAGTTAATTACACTTTAGTAGATAGTTAATTACATTACATTCAATTAATCCTTACATTAAGATTCTATTAAGATGTAATGACACTCCTCCATGACTCACTACCTTATTCGTGTTGGAGGGGTTTGTGTGTCCCAGGGGCTATCTCTGGGTGAGGGAGCAGACAAATAGCGATTCAAAAACCCCTATAAGTGAAAGATCTAGGAAACAGCTCACGCTGCCCGGGATAGGGTTACCAGGGACGAGTATTTCAGTACCCCTTCAGCTTGCTGCCACTATGTTGGAGTTTTTCCCAGTGAACAAGAGGGTTTGGTTCCCTGAGCCTGTTTCCCTTTCGTTTGCCCTTATGCCCCGAACGACAGTTTAGAGTACCAGACCTTCTTGGTATCCGTGGGTGGGTGGAGTGCTTGAGGGTGTTCCACCTGGGGGCTCCGTCGTCTCACTTGGAGACTTGAACGCTCATGTCAACAACGGCAGTGAGACCTGAAGGGGCGTGAAGGGAGGAACGGCCTCCCAGATCTGAACCCTAGCGTATCCATAAGTGCACGTGGAATCACGACACCCTAGGTCACAGGTTGATCATCGATTTTGTAAATGTATCATCAGATCTGCAGCAGTATGTTCTGGACACTTGGGTGAAGAGAGGTGCTGAACTGTCAACTGATCACCACCTGGTGGTGTGTTGGACCCTGTGGCAGGGATGATACTGGAGAGACCTGCGGGCCCCTAAAGGTATAGTGAAGGTGCGCTAAGAATGCCTGGTAGAGGCAATGCTGCAAGGCTGTCTTGGTTATCAATGCCTCTACAATGTTGTTGGAGGTTAGAGGCCATACCTCTGGAATGGATCTTTAAGAAGAGGAAACTGGACAGTGTGCTCCAACTATAGAGGGATCACAGTCCTCAGCCCCCCCAGGAAAATCTATGCCAGGGTGCTGGAAAGGAGAGTCTGTCCGTTAGCTGAACCTCGGATACAGGAGGAAATATGTGGTTTGCGTCCTTTTCACGGAACACTGGACCTCTTTAATCTCTTTACCCTCTCGAGATTACTTGAGGGTACATAGGAGTTTGCACAACCAGTCTACATGTGTTTTGTGGACTCTGAAGAAGGCGTTTCACCGTGTCCCTCTGAGTCTTCTGTGGAAAGTGCCTCGGAAGTATAGGGCTTCTGGCCCATTGCTACGAGCCATTTGATCCTTGCAAGAGCTTGGTTCGTATAGCCGGCAATAAGTTGGACTTGTTTCCAGGTGGGTGTTGGACTCCGCCTTTGTCACTGATGCTTTTCATAATTTTTAGGGGACAGAATTTCTAGGCGTAGCCAAGTGGTGGAAGGCTTTCATTTGGGCGATCTCAGAATCTCATCTCTGCTTTTCGCAGATGATGTGGTTCTGATGGCTTCGTCAGGTGGTGGCCTCCAGCTCGCACTGAAGCAGTTCACAGCTGAGTGTGAAGCAGTGGGAATGAGCAACTCCAAGTCTGAAGCCATGGTCCTCTGAAGCTCACAATTGATGGGAGCGAGCGATCGACAGACGGATTGGGTCCGTCGTGGTGAAGAGAGAGCTGAGTGTAAAGGCAAAGCTCTGTATTTACCGGCCGATCTACATTCCTACCCTCATCTACGGTCACGAGCTTTGGGTAGTGGCTGAAAGAATGAGATCATATATACAAGAGGCAGAAATTAGCTTTCCTCAAAGGGTGGCTGGCGTCTCCCTTAGAGACAGGGTGATGAGTTCAACCATCTGGTAGGCCCTCAGAGTAGAGCCACTATTCCTCACTTTGAAAGGAGTCATTTGAAGTGGTTTGGGCATCTGACAAGGATGGCTCCTGGGTGAGGTGTTCTGGGGATGTCCCATTGGGAGGACGCCCTGGGGCAGACCCGGGACATGCTGGACATGCACCCTCTCTACATTTATTTGTATTTCCCATTTTGTCCCTTCGAAACGACTTCTGCTCTGCGCCACTGCTGCATCCCGTTGATGCTAAGCTAGCAGCCTAAACAGGAGTTGTAGCAGTTCAGAGAAAGAGAATGATCGGGCTGTCAGGTGCAGCCCACTCACCAGCACTCTGAATAGTGACCACAGAAGAAAGGGATCTGCAACCACAGTTTCTCCGGAGCACAGTCAGACCCACCTGATGACACACACTCATCAAAGGTCTGAAACACAATGCGAAACACTTGTCATTGTATTATCCAGACAAAAAAACAGGTCATTCGAAAAGGATGCAAGCTGTAAAAGAAGCACCTTCTTGTCTCCTTGTTTCCTTCGTCGAAGGCCTGGTCTGTAGTCATCTCCAAAACGTAAAAAATAGTAGTACGATACAAGGCGCTCTATGGGATCACGCACCACATTGATGTACAGTGGTTTACCTTTCACGCCATGTCTGAACAAAAAGAAAAGGGAGGGCACATTCTTTAAAATCTTTCAAGACTTAATTTATACTTCACTGCAGCAGCACATGAAGCTGTGCTGCTGAATTTTATTGCATTCAAAAAGCATATTCTCCCTAGTGAAAGCATGGAGCAGCATCAGGGAGTGAGAGTGCAAGTTAACCGAATCTCTCTCACTGAGAAACACTTAGACCATTAGAATAATTACCTGTGATCACAGAGATGATAGTGTCAGGGGAGATAAGGACAACAATGCCATTAATCAACACTAAAGCACATGTTAGCGATCAATACGTGACCTCCCTTTATCTGCTCTGCTGGCTGTTTGTAACTAATCTGGATATTAATGGTATTACAGGAAATGAAGGGCCTTACTTTGAGAAGTCCAGATAAGCTACATGGCCGTGGTAGAAGCCGGGCTTCATCTCTCTCCATGAGGTGACGTTCCTGACAAAGCGCACCTGGAGACAAAGATAATGGAAACTAATTACGGAGCCGCGGGGAAACGGAGCCACAACAGAAATGTTTGTGCTACATGTTGCTACAAACTTTACTCAGTTACAGCGCAGAGTTCAAATACAGCAAAAGTGTCAACCCTTCCCAATGAACAAATGAGCATTTGCATTCCTATTTACAACTGGAACACATTTTGATAATGAATAATAAATACTAATAATTTTTGGTCATGTGACAGGGTGGAGCCCTGGAGGTCAAAACACTGTTATCCAGGCATGTTTTTATCCATGCATGTTTTTGGTCTGGATGAGTCACAAAAGCTGCTGTTTAAGGAGAAGAAGTTCAAAGTAGAATGTCAAAGTAAAAACAAGCGTTAAGTAGCTAATGTCCATCCATTTTCTAAACCACTTATCCAATTTAGAGGGCTTGAGCCTAACCCAGCTGTCACAGAGGCAGGATACATACCGAACAGGTCGTCTGTCAGTCCACTGAACGGCTAACATAGAGAGACACAATCGCACTCTGATCTAACATGCGTGTCTTCAGCTTGTGGGAGGAAACTGGAGTACAGAAATTCTTTATCATAAAGATACTACAGAAATGAAACATGAGTATTAATGGTGTAAACATCACATCATGATAACGTAATGATCTAAAACTCTGAGATTACTTAAAATGTGTTTATGTAAGCTTGAAAAGAAGTTCTTACTTAAATAAGGCACATAATCTGGTAACATTAAAAAAATTATTTCAATCAAATTCTGGCACCGACGTCTGTATAAAAGGTTCCTTAAGCTGTAACACTGTGTTCAAACAGTGTTCGGATGAAATGAAGATGATTAAATTGTGTGTCTACTAAAAGGTTTCTAAGGAAACTGCACATGGAGCACTAAAACACTGGAAAGTGGATCAGGTGGAACCAAAGCACAAATCACTGAAAATTACTTCATAGATTCATAGAATTTTCTAAATAGAGAACAAAAGCCTCTAAATAGAAAGAATACTGTCAAAGAAAGGCCGTTTACATGCTGAGAGGACGAGCAGCATCTGTGACCAAATGCTGAGGAGAGCAAACAAGGCCAAAAACTTTGAGAGAGTTAAGAAAGACAGATTTAGATGTGAACAAAACTTTATTACAGAAAAGTGAAATGTAAGGACACATAGAGAATTATACCACAGCATATCAAGCCCACAGGGAAACAGGGTGATGGGAATATTGAAATCTTCTGGAATAAAACTGGTTCTTGAATGCTGCAGTCAGGAAAACAAAACAGAAGCAAACAAACACTAAGCTAATATGAAGTTCAGGGACTTTTTGTGCCCAAGGCACAACACAAGACCTCATTCACATTTGCAATCATATCTGCTTGTATGAACAGTATTCAGTATACAACAGCCCACAGTTGGAGTTATAAAACCAAGCATGACAGAAAGACTGCAAACATACTGGCGTCGCAGACGGTGACGTGCTGAATCACAATATGTAAACACTCTTAGCATATAACGCATCGCTTATAAATGTATTTCATCACAGACACCAAAACCAGCAGTGTTGATAAATATAAACCAAATCTAACCTAATAAAAACAGTCTAATATGGGTGATTAATATCACCCTACACTATTAATAAATATCACAAAGTCAAACATACCTTGGCTGGACTGGATGTTTTAACTTGATACAAAAGTGTTCATATATAAAAATGACTCTTGGCCGTGACGGGACTGCAGACTGTTGTTTACCCTCGTATGTGTGCGCGCGCGCGTGTGCGTGTGTGTGTGTGTGTGTGTGTGTGTGTGTGTGTGGTGGGGGTGGTGAGTAGGTGCGAGCCTGTTGTGAGACGGCAGACAGGATATTACATTGGCAACTACAAATAACACCACTATAGCTTCAGGTCATTTACACTGTGTGAACTGAGCTGCTCTCAGCAGTAAACATTCACTAAGAGTAACAGGATGCGGAGAAAGACACAGACAATTCTCAAACCAAAATATCATCAGGTTTCATTATTTTCAACGTGCAAACAAACACACCGGAGAGAGGGATTCATTAACAGACAACAGCCGCAGATGATTTTCCCTTCCACCACCACAGAGTACCTTTTTCATGAGTGATGTGGATCATCAGAATAGCATGAAATTGGCAACTCTGTTTATTACAAGTGTTATTAATGAGAATAAGAAATGCAGCAATGTGCCAACACTGGCACAAAAGCAGGAAAGGGGATCGCTTGCAAGTAAACAAGGAAGCAAACGGGATACTAAATGTTAAAACTTTAAAAACACATTTTGTCTGACCTGAAGATTGCACATTCTTAAATATTCTCTCTAGGACTTCAGCATGTAAGAGTTGCAGAAATATGTCAAAAACAAAGTTAGCTCAACCTAGTGAGATGAGGGACAATAATGAATATTTCTAAGATACAGAAGAAACATTAGTGGAAAATACTCCAGGACCACATTTCAGCGGAGGAACCCGAGCATGATCTCAAAATCTTACATCGTGTCTGCGATCTGTCTAGGTATAGAAGCATAAACAGAGCCTTTAAAAATGTATTCCTGCGCAAAATATAATAAACGTTACTCTGTCATTTTGGCTGAGTGTGTGAGGTCTTACTTGGTCTTGTAGAGACATGACAGGGTTGTTCTTGGTTGTGTTGATGTGCAGAACGTGGAAGCGATTCTTCCCACACAGGTCGTAGGCGATGTTAGTGAAGGACGTGCTGGCTGTTTTGGGCACTCTGTTGTAGATGATGACCGTGTCGTCGTTTTCTACTATCGGCGGAACTTCCCGCCCACCCCCGTATTCGCTGTGACGCTGCTCTACTTCGGCCACCTCGTGTCTGGCTATGGTGCGTTCTGAACAAGCAAGTAAACACAGTCTGTTGTTAACATTTTAATTATACAGCGCACAACTGAATAAGCACAATATTATAATATTCGATTTAGCACTAAAAAAGGACAGTCACTCCAGCTTATCACACCACCATGAAATAGTCAGTCAGTAGTTTTAGGTAGCAATTTGCATGCCAGGTAGCTGGATGTTGTTCGAAGAGATTTATTTAACCTTTATGTCTTCCTATTCGTCTTCTTTGTATTTGCTGATTAGCTAAACAGCTGGAATGAGTGAGGAGCAGGAGCAGACTGGCAGCTGCCAGATGAAATAAACCCTGAGATGAGATTCTCCCCTCCCACAGGAACATGGCATAAGGCCAGTGAAGCTTGTTAGTTAGCATGCCTTAATTAAAGAAAACAACAAGTCCTTCAAAGCACAATAACATCAAAACAAGTAATTAGGCTTTTGATGATAACATTGACAGGAGGCATAATTAAAGGTGTTTTCTCCCTCTTTTTTTCTCCACTGCAATGTTAATTAAAGACAATTACGCGAATGGCCTTGTGTCTCTTAGACCGGATGTGTGGCGCTCAGTATGCTGCAACATCCAGCAAATCCTTTACTGTCTGACATGATGAAGGCTGATGAAGCTCAGGGGGTGGAGGCTGTTTGAGTTCCTTTTGTCTCCATTTTAAGGCAGATGGATGGTCACTTATATTAAAGATTAAAGAAAATGGGATGCGTGCATATTTTTCTGTTAGGCGTGTGTTCCTGGTAACTTATTTACGGGTTGATTAAATGGAAGAAAAAATAGTCAGACCAGTCTTTAAGCAAGAACGACAGTGAAAGCAGTCCAAATTGAGCACAGTGTAAATGGTGAGGTTAAACTAATGCATTTGTATTTAATGAGAGCCGCTTGAAAGCATATTTTGTATGACGTAAAAATGTCAAAATGCCGTTGAGATGGCTATGGAGCCGAATCTGGAACAAAATCTTTCTCAAGAAAAAAGATTAAACTGAGTACACTGGCAGGCGTCAGTGCTACTCAGCATCCTAGTAGATACACATATGACTTCTTGTTATCGAATTCAGAAGATTTTCAGGGAACCTTTGATGGCTGAGGAATAAAAATACTGAAACTACAACTTCAACAGTTTATTCAAACTAAAAAAAACATGTACAGTTATTTTTTCTGTGTTAATTTCCTGTAAGCATTAATTACTTTCATCTTTACTTTGATACAGTATAACTTTTGATATTTAAGATCAGGATTTTTTCAGTTGGAAATTTTATGTTTGCAGATTTGGGTGTGTTTTTAGCCTTTTAAATCATCTTTGATTGATGAGTTTTGGCCTTGATCTCGCAGGGCGTCAATGTGGCATTAACTGAGAGAAGGGTCCAATCATGAGCAATGACTTCAGATATGTTGTGGAATGCACACAATGTCTGTGTAGGTTCTCAGTCATCCAGGTCATGGAAATTTAAGGCACTTGGAAAGAAAAGCGACTGGACTTCCTCTTTGAAGAGAAAGGAAACCTCAACATTGAAGTTTACTGGAAGCCCACACACCCAGATCAGTACCTATTCTTTGACTCCCACCACCCTCTGGAACACAAACTTGAAGTAATCAGGACCCTGCAACACTGAGCCAAAAACATTCCCTCTAAGCCAGAAGGGAAAGAAAGGGAACACACATAGGTAAAGAAAGCTCTTAAAATATTACACCAACTAAGGAGAAAATGAATGACAAACAGAACAATATTGTTATCTCTTATGTAGCAAGTTTATCAAAGAAACTCGGGAGAATCTTCTCCAACTATGACATCCCAGTATACCTCAAACCCACCAATACACTCAGACAAACACTGGTTCTTCCCAAGGACAAAACTCCTAAACAAAAACTAAACTACGTAATATATGCTGTTTTCTGCATCGAGGAACGCTCAGACCTCTACAGTGGAGAAAACAAAGAGCCAGTCCATAAACACATGGCACAACACGGAAGAGCCACCTCAACAGGACAAGACTCAGCTGTACATCTGCATCTAAAAGACAAAGAAGACAGATGGACTGAAAGAGCCATCTACAGTGGCTTGCAAAAGTATTCGGCCCCCTTGAACTTTGCAGTTATTTATTTGTAAAAAATGTTTGGAATCACGTATGATTTTCGTTCCACTTCTCACGTGTACGCCACTTTGTGTTGGTCTTTCACGTGGAATTCCAATAAAATTGATTCATTTTGCAAGCCACTGTATGTGCACAGAGGGGGTGGCTTACAACACCAACTGTCTGCCACCCGCAATCCAGTGTTGAGATCCCTTCCGAAGCACCTTAACACCCACTCATGTCACTTGATCTCAATAGGTCACAGGACAGGGTGAGGCAAGGTCTTAAAATGGTTTCACCCAATACCTCTGTTAATAATGACCCACACCCTTTTTCATACCTTGGCTCATGTGATGAGTCTACGACCCTCTTAAGGGACAACTCCCAATACAGCTTAAATAGCTGGGACTCTCTGCCATTTGGACTTAAAACTGAAGAAGCTTCTCAAATGAGAGGTGAAACATCTTCTATTCTATTGTATTCATTTGTATTATTTTAAACATTAAAATACTTAATTATCACTTCCACAACATCTGCTTGATTAGGCTTATAAAATGCGGATGACCAGGGTTAATTTTCTTGGTTGCCAGGGCGACACATCCCCTCTGAATAAATTTAGTCAAAAAAATGTGATAATTATTATCCTTGAATATAAACTAATAAGATTTATTATAAGTCACTATTTCACATTTTGCTGTGAGCACATATTCCCGATATACACGTGTACAGCTCGCTTCAATCAAACTTTATTAGTAAGTGATGAAAAACACTGTTTGTGTTTATCTTAGAAGTCCATTGCACAAAACTACTACTAATCTCCTGGTTTCTAAACGGATATAGCCTCCAGTGTCAGCGTTTTTCAGTGTCCCAAATTTCTTCTAAAGTTGGGAAACGAGCTCAAACTTGCAGACACACAGAGCCAAATGAAGATCAGATCCTGCTGTAGATGATTTGGCCTCACAGAGCTCCCATAAACAGGGAAAACCCTGTGCTTGAAGGGATATACTTCTGATGGGTGGAAAAATATGGATTTCCATCAAAATCAAAATTAAAACATACTGGCGTTGTTTTCAGGTTTATCCTTTTCCAATTAGGTCAAATCCGTGTACACAATTAGCCTGGGGAGGCTTTGGTGCATAAGCTTATTGAGACTGGAATATCTATGTATGTGTGTCACATGTCTATGTTGATAAACACTACTCTTCTAAATTATCTTACAGTCTTACAATCTGATGATAATAACAAAGAGTATAATAAACACTGAATTCAATAATAAGCAAAGCCACTATGGAAACTAGCTGAAACCAAACTGAACTGAAAATAAAAATGAAAATAAATTGATCACAATAACGTCGATGTTTGAGGACTTTCAGCATTGTTATGTAAATGATTTTTAAGTTTTAAAAATCTCCTGACTTTTTTCCTATAATGTAATTTTTGGTAAAAACTTGTCCGAATGTTTTCACTTTTTATAAATTACAAATTCTATGTTGCATTGCCTCAGTTTTCAAGCCTCAATAAGCTGGGTTACTAGGTGAACCCACCTTTGCTGTGGTCTTACCTAGTTTGGCTCTGGACTCGTCCAATTTCTGGATCTGATTCTCGATCAGCAGCATCGCCACTCCGAATGCCAAAACAGCCAAAAGCTGGATCTTCGGCAGCATCATGATCCTTAAAATCCCCATCAAACAACCGAATGAATCATGCCGTGGATGCCGGTAGCTTCAGGTTTCACATCCACTGATAACGTTTAACCCAGCACAAGCGTCTGCTGCTGGAAACTGGACTGACTCGGATGTTTTGATTTATATATTGCAAATCGAAATCCGGACGCCGAGGTTAGTTGATGAGCATCATTAGTAGATATAGAGCTCAGCAGCCATCCTGCAGGGTTAACTCAGCGTTAGCAAAACAAACTAACAGCAGCTAGCTCCGTGCTAACACTGGCCAACCTCACACCACCGGCATATTTCAAAACCAGCTTCGCTGTTCGTGTTTTATTTTGGACTTAACCTGCTTTGCCAACCGCGAGTTCGTGCTGAGCTCACAGACATGAAGGCAGTGACACACAGGTGACTGCATGAAAGATAACCGAGTCCAAACTAAGCTTCTAGCAGGAGTGTCGCTTCTTCTTCATCCTGTGTTTTCATTGGACAACCTCAGAAGAACTCTAAAGGCTCATGTCGCCACCTACTGGACGGCAGTGTGTGCAACAATTATTCCCCACAATGCATAGAGAAAGTTCACAAGATGTTAGTGAGACAATCTGTTTTGTATGATTTGGAAATGGTGGCGCTGACAAAAAGACAGGAGGCTGAGATGGAGAAGGGTCACTGGGAGTGACCAGAATGGACAGCATTAGAAACATGTCAGAAGGACAGTTCAGGACAGGTGCTTACAGAGTTAGAGAGGCAAGGCTGAGATGGTGTGGACATGTGCACGGAAGAGAGAGCGCATACAGTGAACAAAGGTTGCTGAAATAGAAGCTGCCAGGCAATAGAAAAAGCAGAAGACCATACAGAAACAGGAGGGTGCTTGGGATAGGGTGGGTAAGGTAGATGATCCATTCCTGCCCTAAAGGGACCAATCAAAAGAAGACGAGATGGAAAATAAGTAAAGGTTAGAACCACCATGCTTAGCCCAACAGTCCAATAGATATATAAAACCTTAATTTTGCTGTCTTTAAAGATGGTTCATCATCACTGACTATACAAAAACCATATTTAAATTCTTACACTGCTGTTTCTGTCACAATCTAAGAGGTATAGTTATGCATGTAATTTAATAAATGTAGAATTTGTTTAGTTTTTTAGCAAACAAAGTCAGTAAATAAACTCAATACAATAGTTCAGATATACACGATTCATTAAAACAACCCAACAAACATATATTTGTGGTATGTAAATACACAGAAAGTTTTAAAGATGTGCAGAAACTTTGTTAAAACATCTAATCTACTACAATCCAAGAGTTGATCAGGTGACGCTCACACATTTTAAGTTACTTCTGACTAGAAAAAACACAAAAACACACTGTTGCAGTCTGGCTCTCATGTTAGGACACAGGACAACCCAAAAAATAACAGAAGGTTTGCTTTATATTCCAGTATAAGTTCGACTATCTACCTTGTACCTTATTTTTGTATTTTTCTCTATATAAATAAAGACATTTCCTTCATAAATTAATGCAGAAAATGTACCAGAAATTAAGAAAAGGAAGTAAATTTCCATAAGGAAGTACTTGAATGAAAGGTGCTGTTTTTAGCAATAACTTTTAATCTGATTTAAAGGTTTTTCTCCACTATGATTATGGTAAAAAATGTTATTTATTTTATAAAAGGTTACATTAAGCTGGAATCAAACAAGGAAAAAGAAGTTACTTTCTAAATCTGAAGAACTACACCCCTGAACCCTGGATTACTGCAACCTTAGCAAGAAGTGTATTTGCATAATTGCAACAGAGATCCTTCCACTTGAACCTGATCTTGGCAGATTTTGGGAAAAGAAGAGAATTTTGGTATTTTATTGTTATTAGGAGGAGTTAAGAATCTACTTTTAGGAAATGTCTTTATAAATCAAGAACTGTTTTGGTGGCAGTGATTTTAATAATTTGGGAAATCCATGGTTTAAAAGCTTGTAAAATATTTCATGTTATTTATTTAGTATTGTTTGCATGTTATGTTGTTACTGGCTGTGTATTTTGCTGTTTTATTGTAAGCACAAATCTTCTACAGATCTCTTAAACTGTTTGTTCTGTTTTAATCTCTTAACCTCATCCAATCTATCACCTGCTTTATGAAGATGTTTAACTTATCTCACATCTCCATCTCAAAGAGTTATTAAAATGCTGAACATGCTCTTAGTTCTCCACTACATTGCACAACTGACATAGTGTGGATTATGAGGCCTCTTCCCAATTAAACACAGAGGGGAATGAATGTAATTTGGACCTGTGGGTGAGTAAAGATGAAAAACCTTACAGGATTTTTGAATTTTAAGCAAAAGCCAAATATTTAGAAACTTGAGATGATTATAAAGAAACTCAAGTTTTTCACCATTGCAGCTATTCAGAGGTCTGACAACTGATTTCTGTAAGTGAATGCATGTTTTTGGTATTGTACTGATAACGTTGCCAGCAGAAGTTCAGGTTGCTGACGGAACTCGGACTTAAAAAAAAGCATGCATGAGGTGGTGGTAACAGAGCTGATCCACACCTCAAAGGTCAAACAGAAGTCTCATTGCACGTGTGCTGTTCACAGATAAGTTAACTTCCTTGTCCAATGTGAGTAGGGAAGAGGGGGGAGATACCAAAGTGAGTTATCAGAGCATTGAGATGTATCAGGTAACCTTTAGTTTCCCTCATAAATCTGTGTTGTGAGTTGGATCTTGACGCTTCCTCTCAGTGAACACAGCAAACTCAAATTGTATAAGCGGCCATTGGATGTGAGCTTTGACCCTAGAAGATGTTTGAGAACAACTAAAGTGTAGTAAATGTATTCCAGCCAGTACCCAGGGTTTTAAACTAGAATGATAAAAACAAAAAACCCTGCCACATGACAACATCTGCTCAGATGTTGATCACAATATTTTTGAGCATCTTAAGGATACAACTGAACCAGCCCGGGTCAGAGAGGTACCACCGCTAAAGCCCACAGATCCAGAGGTCTAACCTCCAACATCCTAATGCCACGCAACCAGTTTCAGAGATCTGCTGTCCACTCAACGACTGGCTACAGCTGTTTTAGAGTTATGGAGAAGGTGTTAATATTGTGGCTGATCTCTCTTAATTATTTTCTACATTAAATAGTGTTAAAAGTAGTTGTTGTTTTTGAATTTTTACTTCTATTTACTTTTTTTCCCACTACAATTCTTTTTTTTTTTTTTTCAACTACGGTGGTCATGTAGAGGTTCACATTTCTAGTTTTTAGACTTTCAATTAAGCTTAGTATTTCTGTCAAATAACTAACAGATCTTTGGCTTTGCTGGGACATGTTCTAGAAAAACTGCATCATTGTGCTTTGGTTGCACCTGGACCTGGATACGCAGTAGAATCATTTACTGATTTCATCATGGTAGTGCTCACCAAACCCACTGTCACCTTATAGATGTGGAATGCCCCGTGCCTCATTTTAAGGATAAAGGTCATCACTCATAACAACTTCCTATTGATTTGGAGTAATACACTGGGCACATGGACACATGGATTCAAATTATTTATACTTTTACATTTTTATTTTATGGTCCTGCTATTTTAAAATCAGGAGTGTTTGGATTGTACTGTCATACAGGGATGATTATTAGGCTTCCAACATTGGGAGAAAGAAAAACCGCCCAAATATTTTGTTTTCCTGCATTTTTTTAAGGAAGGTACTGTAGATAAGATCAGATTCTTAGAGTGATCAGGAAATAAGAACAACAAAAGGAAAAAAGATCTTCAATCGTGAATTTACGCTTCATTAAAAAAGCAGTGATGCTGAACTGATCCGCTAGGTGGTGCCAGAGGTCCGGGTATGAGGACATGTTTTCAGTAAAAGAGCCATTTTTCAAAGACCAGTGTGATGGAAACTGGGCCCTGTCCGCTGGACGTTACTGAAGAGCACTATGAAATATAATGGGTCCATGCTCGGCCTTGTGGCCCCGGCCTTGCAAAGCTTTAGATTACTGGTTTTTGGACCCCCAATGGACTTCAGGCTAGAAATCCTCCAGAAAGGTAATATTTTTCATAGTGAACTTCAAGACTGCAGCCAGTCATCAGGTGTATTTGTAAAACATCTGAATATTTGAAATCTGTCTGTGCATAAAATGTCAGAAAGAAACGAAAAACAGGGATTATTATTCTTTTAGTGCCAAATGAACCTATTTAGACATCTTTAGTTGTATGACTAACTTTCAGAAACTTCCAAATGTGGAGTTTATACCACAGAAACATGCAAAATGATGAAATATTCACATTTAAGAAACTAATTTTCTGTCAAATAACTAATCAGCTAATTTATTCAGCTGTAGAGTAATCCCTGGTGCCTAGGTGTCGGTGAAAATATTAAAATTTTCATGCATTGTAAGCAAGGGGCAAGAAAAAAAAAAAAGCAATACATTATTGTAATCATATTATTTGTCTAAAGAAACACTGTTCATAAAATCATTGCCCAATTTGTTATTATTCATCAAACAATTGTATCACTTTAGTTCAGGCCTTTTCTGTTGTGAGTGGCTGTGTGCAGACAGGAATAGGACCCAAGGTGCAGACTCCGGAGACAGATGTGAACTCAAAACAACTTTAATGTTAAACTCAAATATAACATAACTGGAAAAATCAAAATAAACTTACACCGGCAGACTGACAGAACACACAGCCACGTAAACGGTAGATCACAACACAGACACAAAGAAACACAGGGCTTAAATACACAGAGGGAGCAATCAGGGAATGGGTAACAGGAGGGAAACACAGCTGGGGCAAATCAGAACTGACGAGACAAGGACGCGTAAACTGAACACACTGAGATAAGACAGAGACCTTCAAAGTAAAACAGGAAACACAAAACACAAACTGAACAAAAGACACAGACTCACATGCAGGCACTACAGTGGGACCAGGGCAGACACAGACACTGACTGGACACGGGGATATAGAAACTAAGGATACACAGAGACGCGAACTAGACAAGGGAATACAGCTGACAGGGGAGACAGAGCAACTAGAGAAGACAGAGACATAAACCATAAGACAGAACTCAAAGAAACCAAAGACTAGAAATGATAAATAATATAATAAACTCAAAAACCCTGGGTCAACGACCCAGGCATCCTAACATTTTCGTGTGTGCTTTTGCCATAATTGTGACTTTAGATCAAAGTACTGTGGATTTGCTTTGCAGAAAGGACAAGACTGAGATTGCAAAATTGCAGTGATCAGGTGTAACATATGAACACGCGAGGTTTCATACTGTTAATGTGCCACATTACTTTTCTTAGGGAGTTAATAAGTAATGCATGAGCAATACTTTGCAATCCCAACGCAGTTACATTTACTTAATAACTGGTGAAGCTTTAGGAAAAGAAAATAGAACATGATTCTGCTGTGCCAAAAATTGTTAAGCAGAAAAGAAGCTTAAAAAGGGTTGTCTCATAGTCTCAATAACTTCCTTTAAAATTAAATTAAAACAATTAATGACTCACTTTAAGAGTGATTAAATGTTATTAAATGTAACTACTACTTAATACTTTCATTAATTTCAATTATCAAGAAATGTGATTTCATGCAAATCACTGAAACTCTCTTTGCTGGATTTAAGGGCATAATCCAGCAGAGTAACAGACAGCTGTGCTGTCGTGGTATGAAAGATCAGTCCTGTTACATCTGAACAGTCAGCAAGGATTATACCAAAGACACAGCATCTATCTGAGGAAGGAGCACAGATTTTATTCAATTACACTGAAACAATGTGGAAGTAATTTTATTTATCATTGGGCGCTGCAGGGCAAGAGATAACATGTAACTGATGACCACTTGTTTTGATAACGCTAATAGGATAAACAACACAATAATCAATATGAGTGTTGTTTCAGATGGTTGGAGCATGACTTGTATGAAAGCAGAAATAAACTGTTTTGGCTTTTGATAAATGTAATTTCATTTTTCTCAAGATTTCTTTCAAGTACACATTTTACAAAGTGCAGAAAATTTAATCATGTTAAAACTTTCAAAGTATAAGAGTGTCAAAACTATGGTGCAGTGTTATGAAAAATCAGCTGTCCCTAAATTAATTACTACATTATATGTACATTTCACAAGCCTCTTCACACTCATTTTCCACTGGTTAGTTTCAAACTGTACAAACCTACTAAATGTCGCTGCACCATTAGAACATAACCAATGTCCTAGAAAGTAAACACTTCAGTATATATGGCTCATAGACTGTATGGTGAGGAGGGAGCTCTGGCTAATAAAGTCCTGTCTGGAAAACAGTAGCAGATCTTGATATTTTATAACACTTGCTGAGTTGTCTATCAGATTCTGACTGAGATTATTTCTTTTTGCAACCAGAAGAGTGGCCCCTTCAAAATACATTTGCATTTGTTTTACTTTTCAGACCCAGAAGCTATATTAGCCTCTGTAAAAACAAAGCCATTGTATTTTTATAGGTTGTAAAATAATCCCTAAAACAGTAGTTTTAGTTGGATAAAAGGCCTTAAGGTTAGTCATGTTAGAGCAGGTATGACTTTGCTGCATGTATGAATGCACATTAAAAAAAAATACATTCATAAAATAAACTTTAATTCCATTTAACCAATAGTACCAACAACAACTTTTGGTCAGTTAGGCAAGAATTAGATGACATTTGCTATTTTTATTTATTTATTATTTGTTTATTTATTAAAGTATCAGGTTAATGTGGCAAACATGTTATCTTTTCCACTCCAGTTCAAAATGGGGATGCATTAGCAAGCTAATGCTAATTTGCTAATGCTAACGTTGACTAAGCTAGCTGGCAACAGCAGCTGCATTTTGAAAAAAATAGTATGATGTTAAGGAAGGGTCCATAAAGAGACTCTGTAAGACTTTGTAAAGAAAAGAAAGGTTCACTTAAAGAGGCTCTCAGATACAATTTAACAGTGGTTCCACTGAGCTGATGTGTGTCTAAATTCCTTGAAAGGCATAGCAAAGGTTTGTCTATTAAGACTTTGACTGGAAAGCCCCAACCTGGAAACAGACCTTCATCCAAGTAAGTAGAAGATACGTTACTGACATAATATCACAAACAAAACTGTTAAAAAAAACTTTGGAGCATTTAAAACAAGAGGTGGGTCATGTGAAAAAGAACGTTTTCGCAAGACTCTGTTCCTGTGAAAAACTAAACTCCACCTCATGATTCAGTAACTTGAATGATTTTCTGTATGAGTCAGTCTCACGTTGTTGTGGAAGAATTTCACAACAACTCATCACCCTTCACACACCGTGCTGACGGATGTATGAACACCTCTGCTTGGAAGAGCCATACTTGTTCAGTGTTTTTCTAATTTAACTGTCATGAACTTTAACATTTACATAATAACTAAAGACTGTGGATTCTGAGATGTAGCTGCTGGAGTTTTCCAACATCTCTGAGCACTGTACAATCTGACCTTGAGGTGAATTTGCAGGGACATTATGTCAACACACGTCCGACAGCTCGAGAGCAGCAAACTGCCAAAACCTCTGCTTTTGTAGAGGCGCTCACACTTGCTGATAATCAGTAAATCAAGTACATTTAATTAGCATATGGATGCTTCTTAGCCTCTTAATTTCTGTGGGAGCAGTAGGTAGTAGTAGTTGTCGTATTGCATCTTAGTGCTTCCCTATTGGGTAGATTTCACAAGAACCTGTGCAAATATCCCTTTGTTTTAATTTTTATTTTTTATCCCTGTCAAACATTACATTTGCACATTCCTCCACTGAGTTTAATATATGCGTTATGTGTTGTGCTACTGAATTTAGTGTCAGAACAGGTAAGAATCACCTTTTATTTAACACAGACACACATACAAAATATACAGCACAGACTTTATAATTGTGATTACATTTGAAAAAGTAACATGAAATTAGGCCTGAAACCGGTCTTCCAAATTAAAGTAGAGAGAAATAAAAAATGAATGCTGAATGTAGAAAAGTTATCACAGAGCCTATTAAAACAGACATGGTTCTACACGTAGTCAAACCTCTGGTTTGTCTGCCTTTCATCCGTACTCTGAGCTTTGTAGGAGTCGTTGTAGACGGGCCGGGATCTGGTGTCAGGCCTGTACATCGTGTTCTGGGAGGCAGCTTTGTAGGCCATCCCATCATACCTGAGGGATAGCGTCACATACATCAAACACTGAAAATATAATCTATGTGCGTACTGTATTTTGCCCTATTTTGCAGTTTTCACATCTCTGCTACTTTATTGTTCGGGAACAGAGAGGTTACTGTCCCTACCAATCTTTTTAAAGATCACAAATAGTTATAAATTACCGGTGTTTCTCTGGTGTCATTGCACGGCAGGCCAGGCACATCAAGATGCCACCGATGAACAAGATAGCGCCACCGATCCAACCCACGAAAAGTGCAGGGCCAAAAGTATACCTGAAAGATTATTAAGGTTAAACATTACCAAAATTAATTCAGCAGGTAATATATATATATATATATATATATGCTAATTTCAGTTTATCTTTACCTTGGCGTCAGAGCTCCCGTTAGTCCACCAACATTGCCTGTACTGCTGAATCCACTGGCAAATGTAGTGAACTGAAAACTTTGTACAATCAAATTAGCAAAGGCTGACACCCCAGCAATCCCACAGACACCTGAAAAAAAATCCGAATTAATGCTGGTATTATCGCAAAACCGTTCTTCTTCGATATCACCTGAGCATTGTTAGTGAAGTAACCTGCAAGGAGAAGCATGATCCCAGCCGACAGAGTCATGGTGGCTTTCAAGTTGTCCTCCATGTTCCCCATTTTCAAGCACTTCAGCGAGAATATGGCGATCAGTAAGCCGATAGCGCCAAGGACAATCCCAACAATCATCAAGGCTCGGACGGCTTGGAGCAGAGCTGAAAATCAAAGTTTTGACATTTAGCATATGTTTAGGATATATCTGTTTGTGAGATTGGTATTACCTTGTAGATACTTTAAGATTTATCAAAAAGAAAATGAAAAAAGAAAAAGAAAATGCTGCCAATTAACTCAATGAGTTTAAATAAATAAAAGATATACAATATTCAAACAACCCAAACCTAAATATATTTCAAATGAGTAGAAAATTGAAATGTATTATAATACATAAGTTCAAATTTTAGGTTTAAATATTTCTGGAGTGTTGCAAGTTAAGCATGCATGTTAAAATATCTTCTTTTTATGGTTAATGTACTGCGCTGTATGTTTTAGAAGGCAACACTGTGCCTTGTACAGCTTCAGTTATTATGTACTAAAGGTAATATATACAAAAATGTGATTATGATTTGACTATGCAACATTATATTAAATGGTTTAAATTAACTTTTACTCAGCATCATTTATATTCATCCAATCATGAGAAGCTCTTTTTAAAAACCACTTGAAGTTTTGACAATTCATTTCGCTAATTATATTTTTGTACTTTTACTTCTGAGTACTTCTTTGATCATGGCCACCATAATACAAATCACACACTAGAAACTAATTATAACCGTAAGGTAGCAGCTTCAATAGTTCAATATATTTTGTCACAGGAAAACGGCAGGTCGGCCATCATTAAAAGTTTCCGCTGAAGATAATATCTGGCATAAAAGAGACAAGAGATATCGTCATTAGAAACTGAACTTGCTTTTATTTTCGTAATTAGTTCGAAACCGTGGTTAAAATGAGTAAAATGTAATACAAAAAGAGATCAAGGTGTTTTACAGCATAATACAATCAACTATTATGCAAGGATTTCTACCTTCTTCTACATATATTATGGAAATATATGAATCCATAGACGTACAAGAATAACTGGGCTGAATTACAAGTTTAGCAGTAGTTCTAAAAAGTCTCTGAAAGGGGGTCAAAATCCCCGGCAATAGTAAATAATATTAGTTTTACTGATGCACATGTGCATCATGAATAGAGGCAGGAAAAGCCCGACACTCACGGCATTCACTTTCAATTAAAATGTTTTAAAAAGGAAGAAAAAAAGCACATTATAGTTATTTTCCAGCACTCATAAATCAAAGCAGCGTGTGGTGAAACACACTGAACTAAATGCCATCTTTCAGCGTCCTCAGATATTGTACCTGTATTATTCTAGATTTAATCCCTTAAGACCTTATATACAATATGCTCTACACTACATTCAGCTGTTAAGTACAGAGTGTGGAAATGTACTTTACATTGTGTGACACTCTGCTAAAGCTTGTGCTTGCTCAGCTAAGCTTTGGATGTCTCATCAAATTTCTATTTGATTCCGGAGAGACACCATCTTTTCTGCAGTCGACTGCATTTTTATTCCATGGCTGGTCGGAAAAGTGGCAGGGGGTGGAAACGGGGGGAAAATCTGCCCTAAAACCTCCCAAATATTCTAAAGTACCTTCCGAGGTCCTTTAGAAAATGTTCTCCTTAATCCGACATGTCGAGAAATATTTGATAAATGTCTTTTTCTCTTGGAGTGTAATTCTCTTACCTGGCAGGCCAAGTATGGTGAAATAAGGCCGACACTGTGTGGTACCATACGTCGTCCCTACACACGACTTCCATAAACCAGAATAGGTATAAAAATTTGTTATTACTGTAAAAGATCGGTCTTGTAAGCTCCACTCGTCCATTGTTGTTGCAGCCGATATTAAAAACAGGCCCAACGCCGACAACATGAATCCTATTAACTGGGTCATTGTGGCAGCCATTTTAGATGTCCCACTCAAACTGAGTTACCACCAGAGTCAGACAGTCATGAAATGGCAGTGTTTGACTGCTGCCTGCTGTTATGTAGGCTTCGACATGGAACAGACCTTATCTGATGTTTACCCAAGACTTACTTCCAGGTTCCGGGAAACTGTGGGGAGCACATTTTCCCCTCCTTTCGAAACAGGGTGTGAAAACACACGGCAAACATGGTTCTTTGTATTGTTCTTCTTTCTGAATTAATATTTAAACCACCTACATGTATTGCATACCCCCCCCCCCCCCCCCCCCCCAAAAAAAAAAGTCAATTTCATTTTTTTGCCATGTGTGTTGGTATTATTGATTTAAAACATACCTGGCAGGCCGAGGATGGTGAAGTATGGTCGACACTCTGTGAAGCCGGAGCTCTGCCTAACACAGGACCTCCACAGGCCCGAGTACGAGTACACGGCTGTCACGACGTTGTCAAAGAGGTCTTGTGTGGCCCACTGGTCCATCCCCGTCGCGGCGATTATTCCCGCTATTCCTATCAAACTCAAAACGAAGCCTAAACCCTGACACAACGTGGCCGCCATGTTGCCGTCTTCTTTCTGCCGCTGGAAACCGTCAAGTGCTCTCAGCTCAGCCTTTCCTCAGCACTGCAGCTGTGTTTGAATATGATATCGTCCAGTATGAAGTCTAAAAGGACTTTACCAGTAACCCCGCGTGTTTGCACTTATGTACAGATTTGGGTGGAGCGTATCAGTATCAGTGTCGATTAATGTTGGTAAGGAGTGTTCGTCGTGTAGAGGGTTGGAAGTCTGTTTGTGAGTTTGTGTAAATGGTCTTTGAAAATCTAAAATGAGGAAATGATGATGGTCTGTTGGTAAATTTGGAGAAGGAGGTCATTCAGCTTCTATACCAGATTTGTTGGGTAGAAATGGTAAACAGACTGGTTCTTATATAGCGCTTTTCTACTCTTTTGGAACACTCAAAGTGCTTTATACAACAATCATCTGAGTGTTCGTTAATCTAAAAAGAAATAAAGTTAGACCACTTCATTTGATTTTAGATTAACAAACACTCAAGGTCATGTTTTAGTCATGCCATGAAATTGATCCTTTTACACTATTTTCTTCTGCTTTAAACACGTCACCACAATAAATGTGTCACAAGAATGACCTACTTCCTGATTCTGAACGAATCTGAACACATAGTGTGCAGACTGGTTTTTTATAACTAAGTCCAATAGGTTCTTTCTACCTGGACTGTTCAGACTTGGTTTGGTCAGATTTGAGTGACAGTAGCTGGAAAATGAGGATCATACGTTGCTGTTTTATAAAAGTAAAGCCAAAGCCAAACAATCCAGAACAATACAAGACAGAACAATTGTGGGGACTTGGCTCAAGAGGGGCGTGCTCACATTTGGACCTTGAAACTGCACAGTCAGGCATTACAAAGCAGACTCTGATTGCAAATGTCAGCACACGCCTCTTGAAAGTTTCAAAAAACAAGCAGTCTTTTAATATTTAATCGTAACGTCATAAGTACTTTCTGCAAAGTTGTTAAGCTAGCCAACATGCTACCATTCAAAACTGACAAGAATCTTTCAGGGACCATTGATCCATCTACTGTTCGCTAAACCCTCAACAGAAATGGTCTCAGTAGAAGGGCGACTGTCAAGAAAACAACCTCAAGAATATTTTAAGGAAGAGGAGAGAAAATGCGAAGAGGCCAAATTCCCCAAGAACTAAATTGAAAACCATAGCAACAGGAAGTGATGAGTAAATGTGAAACTTTTGGATTGAATCATCACTTACACCCCCCCCAAGAATGATGCAGGAAAAGACAAATATTGGAAAAATCCAAATTTACAGTACAAACAATACAAAAGCTGTGTAAACAATTTCATATTGGTGAGATGGGATCCAAAGTATTTAGCTAATGATTACAAAGGTTTCAATGAAGTACGACCCTTTTTTTGTTGTAACATAACATCATCTCAGTTTCTGGTCATATTTTTGTCCGAGATATGTTGTTATAGTCACGACATAACAAGAAACAATAACGAGAATGATATCATTAAGACAATCTTGTAAAGATGAGGACAGTTTTTCTGGTTTAATACGAATCAGATTATTTTTATTCTGTTATGTTATAATTGAATAGATCAGTTTTGAAAAAATTGCAATAAGCTGCCATGTACTTGGACTTGTTTTCTTTCTTTTAAATGACTGACAAAATTAGGTTGTTTCAGAACAGGGCATGCGGGTTTAGGCCATGTCCTGAAGATGGGAAGCCCGGCGTGTCAGTAGCAGCAGGCAGGATACTGTGAGATGTAAATATGCTTCTCCCACTTACTGCCGATTACTTCTGTCTGTCATCCAAGGTAGCACTCAAGCATTTCACTCTGTTGATTCACTCTGAATCTTTCCCCAGGAGAGGTGAACAGAAACAGCGGTCGGAAATAAAGCATTAAAATGTGCTTGCACCCACAACAGTTTTGCTTTTATCAGCTTAGATGATTGCATTAACATGGTACTTTCAAGATTTATTTTGAGCGTTATTCTTCACTAAACTGTATGTTAGACTTGTAAAAATGGTTTCAGTTTAGAAGCACAACATCTGCAGATTAAATATTGTTCTATGCCTCTGCCAGGCTGTTAAACGATACTGGATGACAGCATTGTTGGGGTGGGTGCTGCGTATCGTTGTGGCACCAGCAGCCAGTGAGGCGAAAGTAAATACTGATACGATTGTAGTGAACTGAAACCAATTTGCCTGTGGCTGATATGTCGGGGAGAACATTTGAGACACCGGGACTGAATCGAAACTGGGTTGGGGCCTTGTTCGGAGTAAAAACACAGCCTCTGCCGCTCAGTATTCACACATTTATATATAATTTCCTTACTTTTTCATCTTTTCATTTGACATTAAAACTGCTGTTGCCATGATTTCGTAATTTCAAAATAACCTAAACACAGTTCCAGCCCTTAGTCTCAGTGCAAGCACACAATTAATACACAAACTAAAATAAAGGAAATTAAACCTAATAAAATACAAGAGAAGAACATTGTTAAAAAACATTAAACTACACCGCCTCTCTGGCCTCTTTTCCCACACAAAAATTACTCCTGAAAGTTTTCTGAAAACAAGTCTAATGGCCCACCCAGTGAAATGTACCCTTACATAGGCGGCCAGATTTGATTAACATCCTTTGAAATACCAGCAGCTAGTAACAGGGTGTACTAATGATTTTTGCTGTCTGCTGGGCAAAGCCATTTATCCCCCAGCAGGCCAAACCTTGAGCAAATAACTTCTCTAGCTTTTGCTAGAACCACTGTTTACTTATCACGAGCTGCCCATGAAAATGCACATAAAAAGAGAAGGTACTTCACAGAGATTTGTTCACTGAAGGTGTTTGTTCTGCTGTGAATAAGACTGTAAGAAACAGCTGACATTGCCTCCACATGTCAGTAGGTCTGCAGCCACAAACTCTCACTGTACCACTCAATACTGTCAAAACCTAAACATCTACATTAATGCACAAAATGTTGATATTTTCCTTTGATCCATATATAGCTAAGCAGACAAAAGAGTAATTAAGAAACATGCATTTTCTCACAAAATAAACAGCTGTAAAAATCATCATACCAACAACTTGGAAATAAAATACCGGCTTATTACTATAACATATTTGTGTCCAATACTCCTTTTAGCCGTGTTTGGGTTATAGCAACTTGGGAAAATGTCTGAGGGGTTTAATGGCCAGCTACAAACTTCTTCTGGATTGAAACAGGGATGGAAACCTTTCAAATGTCGGAGTCGAAGCTAACTAGACTTGTTTTATAGCTTCATGAAGATGTTTCATCTCTCATCTAAGAGGCTTCTTCACCTCTAAGAGCCGAAGTGAAGGAACAGGTATTTAACACCTATGCATTTCAACCTTGGAGGTAGTCCTGAGACATGTCACATGATGACCTAGGCTGTCCTCCTGTGAGTTATTAAAGTCGCATGGGTCAAGGTGTGAGTGGGGGTTGAATTGCCAGGGAAGGGATCTCAAGACTAAGTTATAGCTGGTCTCAAAGGCCACCACCTCTGTTCATTGATGGTGAACCATCACTACCTCACTGGGAGATAAACTCTTGGTGCTCCCCATCACCTTTTAGAACCGATAAAGCCTCCCGGATGAGAGTGACACATCTTCATGAACCTGCCTTGGACTCAAGTATTCAGTATTGAGAACTTACACAGACACAGTTGAGAAGGTAGATTAAGAAAACCCACATGTGTCAAAATCTTTTTCAGTAAATCTAGGAACGAGTTGTACTTGAATACCTACTTTAGCACAATGTAGCTAAAGTAGCTCACGTTTACCCATATCTGGACCAATGTTTTTACTCAGCTAGTGCAAATTTGGTCTGAGGTGGTGGGTTGATAGTGTTTCCAGAGTGTGAAGGGCAACAGCTGCACTCCTTATTAGACAGTCCTGGCTCCTATGAGAAATGATGGTGAAGACAGCAAGCTGCAACTCTCCTGGGAAGAGTCCTCCCTGGAGAAAGTAAACGTCTCTCCGTCTAGCTGCAGTTGCTGTTAGCATTGCAAATCCTTGTTTGGAAAGACATGTTCGTGATTCTGTGAATACAAGAGGTTTTCTTGTGGTGCATAAAAGTCGCAAAAGATCATCGGAACTCATACTCTGTTGACTGTGAATGTTTTTCACTGGTTTTTGCCTGGATTCAAATATTTAGTTGAGGAGTTTCAAAACTTGTATAATGACTCTTTGTTGATGCAGTGAATATATCTCATGTAGGAGGGGATACAGCACAATCTGCTGCTGTCATTTTCTATAACTTTTTTTTTAAAGGAAAAAAAAGAGAGAGAAAGTTTGGAGACAAACCTTGAAAGAAAATTTCCACACCAACTTCTATTTTGAACTCCAGTCAAGAGCTCCATTATCACTCAGGCTACAATAAGAAAACACTAGAAAGAGATGTGCTGAAATGATGAAAGGCTGTCTCAGAAAATGGTAGAAAAATGGCCCATTTACTGTCCTCCACCTTTTGGGAGTCTAAATGGATTTTTATTCAGCAATCAGTGCACTGCCTCCTGACGAACACTAGAGGGCAGAGTGAGTGCAGAGAACAGAGGCTGCGATCACAGCAGGGAGCTAACTTGCAGGGAGTGTGATAAGGAGGGCTTTCACGTTACAGGGCCTGGAGTGCTGTTTCTCTGAGGGCATCGGGAACTTCAACAAAATATGAGCAGGTCAGAAGGAGGACAATCAGCATTTCGGTGCATTTTCCCTCCTGTGAATAAGGCGGCGCATGAGCGAAATCAGTATGAATTAACAGTGTTGGTTAAAAAAAGAAAAAAGCAGCTTTAACAGGAGCCAGAAGGCAGTGTGAGTGGTCTAGCTGTGGTAAATGAGTAACACTCACCCACTTCAAACATCCTAACAATGAACGCTACCTGGGCAGCCAGGGAAATGAGCACAGCCCCCACAAATCTGCTACATTTGAAGAATGATAGAAAACTTCAAAAATCCCTGAGCAATTAACCAATCACAGTCCAGCAGGACAGTGTGACAGAGTGCACACATCATTGGTCGACAGGCTCACATCCGTTATGCTTTCAGTGGGGCGAGATCTAAATTAGAGAGCCAATTAACTCTGCTAATAGCCCTCTCCTATTTAATCTGGAAGACAATGGAGATTGAAGAAGAAGCTTTTACAATATCCTCTTTCTGCCACGATTCTGAGGGCCTGCGTTTGCCTCCTTGTTTTCACTTCAATTAGCCCAGTGCTTTCTATGATTAAGTACCTATAATTATTTTTCAATTAAGGCTTTGATC